ACTGATACAACCAATTTCCTGAGAAGTCGTTTAAGTGACTCTATCTATCTACATTATGATTAGGCCTGGATGTTTTGTCGTTTCTGGTGCTTAAATTTGATCTTTGACGATTTGCTAATGCTTAGCGTACACCAACCTTTTGAGCGTAAACATCGCCCTATTTTCTGTAGGATTTTCTAAGGGAGTGAGCGACCTTTCATCTCGAATACAACAATTCTTGTAACCACTACAATTTTATTTCCCATGATATAGCCTTAACCGTTAATTGCAATGGAAATCCGGAACGGCATTGGATTACCTAATGTTGTGACTTTTGCTACTTTTCAGCCTTAAAAGTTTTTATAATCATACTATCCCTAACTTTATAGATTTGTTGCATAAATTGGCACTTCATGTAAAATCTCATCTATATTGCGTTATTCATAATTTAAATTGTCGAATGATCTCCAGCCATTCTTATTGTCCATTGAGTGGACCACGAAAATACGTCCTGGAGGGAGAAGTCTTCTACTCTGCGCGGTTTGAAGTCAATAAAACGCCATCCTCAGGGAAGTCAAATAGGTGGTCGACCCCCAACCCTCATTTTCCGGGAAAAGAGGGCACAAAAATATATGAGGGTTGAGCGTTCTTCAGAAGACTGATGATGTCAAACAGAATTTTGAATAAGTCAACGGCTTAGTATATTTCCCCAACATTATCCTCAGATTTATAACAAGCGATGAAGCCAGAAAATGTGCCTACGAACAACTGTGTCTCACTTGACTTTTATTTTACCTGCTACTCCAACACATTGTCTAGGATATAGACCAATATTCAAATAACTTGAAGCCCTTCTTCTTTTTCTAAACAGTAGTGATTCCGTCGCATAGTCTACTGTCCTTCATAGCCGTCTCCATTTCACTCTTCTACTGAATCTTCCTCGACTTCGTAAGGTCTGTCTTGATCATATCCTGCCACCTTTTATTTGAAGCTCCTCGTGATTGCTTCCTTTCGATCTCGAACTTGATTGCTTCTTTATGTTGATAATTTCTCATTTCCAGTGGGAGATCGAACCATCTCACACCCTGCTCTCTTATCTTGAGCTGCGTAGAAGCTATTTGAATAGCCATTTCTCCGCATTCTCATTTCGACTAACCAGTAAATTTGCCTAGTGGCCATCGCTCCGGTGCATGGAGCATCCCGGGCTCCACTGTGGCTTTGTATGGCTTTCCTTCCGAGCTACCTGGAGCACCACTGTTCACAAGGGTACCGCTAGGCTCTCTCTATTTCTGCCTGGTGCTTTGGTGCTACTACTCCCAGTTATTGTATGTCTTGAATCTATCTTCAGTCAGAACGTTATACATTCAATTCTGCTGTTCAGAATGAGGCAAAATGGAGTTCACTGCTCTCTTCTGACCTAAATAGCTTCGAGCTAAAAGATATCGAGCTACTGCATTGCTTTACTTATTTTTATACATGTAGTAGACAGGGAAGCCCACAGCGTGCAAGTGAAGGCGTCTCATCATTGAGTGCAGAAAACTACGTGATCGAACCTTGAGTGCAAGAAGCTTGGACATCTATTAGCCCCAACAGACGAGAGCGTAGGCAAAACACATGTCTACCTGTCCTCAAAAGTTTGTACTGAACCACTGTTTGCTGTGCATGGGTTACAATTGTTCGTCCAACTTTTCATCGTTGAAACCTCTAAATTTGGTCATCATCGTATCGGATATTCGATTTTGAGTCAGAGGACATTCAAACTTGATCATGTTTTGTGTTTTTTTTTGTCTTCTGAAAAGTGTGGGTGAGTAAAGTCTTTCCTAAGTAACAAAACTCCGACCTCAAAAATGATTCAGGCCATGGAATCTAAGTTGTTCTATATTCTCGGTAGCTCTCTTTTTTTTCTTCTCTCCCCTTCATCCACATAACGACAGAGCATAGCAGCTTCGATTAGATCTCTGCAACGAGATTAGCTCAGACGATATAAAAAAATTGTTTAAAATCATAAAAAGACATTTTATAGCTAGTCTCAAGACTACTGACGCTAACGTCTTTTGTTTACTATTATACATATACACCGTATCGCCTTCTGAACACACTTGATAGTGGGTCGACGCTCAAATCATAACTTGCTAACTAGGGAGCTCACTCCCCTTGACTTACCGCGATGAAGTCGTGCCTTAAGAAGTTTCGGTTAACGTCTAGTCTTTCGATACTTTACTGGAACTGGCTTATTGCATCTGATGCCTGAACCTATACCTCGTCTGCCAGGAAGTAAAACCTACCGCACCTATCCAGCCGTATACGCCGTATGGGTCCCATACGGCGTATACGGCCGGATAAGTGCCGTTAGGTTGCTAAAGTCTTCTTTCACACTACAATTAGAAATAAGTGGAGATATGTGCTATGGACGTGGCTCCCGCCCAGACTCAGAGTGATTTCTGTTTTTGCGCATTCATTCCAGACCAATGAGTTACGGGAACAGCCAGTGTAGTTGTCGGCTTCAACCATTCAAGATAACGTAGTACTAAGCAAAGAGCAGCGGAAAAATGAATATCTCAGTGGCCAGAATTGAGATAGGGTTCTTTATTTGAGATTTGAGTTGTGGACATGGCATCTATGCTCAGAGCTCACAACACAAGGACCCAGTGCATTTGTGATTTCAACCTTTTTTTTCTGAAGAAAATTATGTGTTTGATATTCAGAAATATTTGGGCATCGAAGCAAGCTTTCACAGAATGCTGTAATATTTTGCCCATAAACAGCAAGAACCACGTTTATACTTAGCCCATGATCAACTTAGTACAGAATCCATTTTCTGCTGTTGTGCGCTATGTACCCATGCTTTCCAGTCCGTTCCGATAAAAGCTCGACCACTCATGCTCAGAGTTCACTGTCACAATCGCTTCGATTGTTTTCCATTGTATCATTTACAGATCTACAATATGACATCAACTCGTACCATTATCTTGTGTATCATACTTGTGGTTATTCAAGCTTGTGCAGAGGAGAACGGCAAAGTTGTCAAGGTTAGTGATGTATCGAAGGCAAACTGACTTTGGAAAGGTCCAATTTCGTTTCTGAATACCAATCTATTCCAGCAAGTAATGTTCTCACGAAATGTGCCGGCATGGCGCTCATCAATGCGAATTAGACAGGTAAGCAGATCCTTGGTTTTAGGGTGTACTGATTACAAAAGAAGAAAGCCTGGCTTCGGGAAATTGATGATTGGCGACTAAAACGATAGTGCCTATCTCCAAATTGTGCTTTCCAAAGAGAAAGCTAAACAAGGATCATTTTATTTTATTGAATACTCTCCAACTTCTTGCTTGCTTCAAACTCGGCATAGCTCTTATTTGTGATAATTATGATCTTGTGCCACACGAGGTTTTCAGGTAGAACAGTCTATTTCGTCAAACGGCCTAACGTTTCGACGCAATTGTCGTCTAGGTGATTTACGCGCCATTCATTAAGCGTCTTGATCCCTATTGCAAACTGAAGATTTACTCGAAACCCATATTTTGCTAGCGACTCACCAAGGTTCCACCGCTCACCCGGAGAAAATCCGCTGTCGCTACAGGCGACTGTAAGTAGCGAGTGAGACTTATTGCTGTCTCCCTTATACTTGTGATAAGGAAGGTCTCGTTGTAGTGCTACTGAGTTACAACTCGCACTGCGCTATATATGGCAAAAAATCATTAGTTATGGGCAGACACTCATCTCTGCCATTTATCTTTGGACTTCTTCGGAAAAGAAACTTGTGACACCGTATAACCGTTCGCAGCAGCTATCTCGCAAGCTAAACGTCGCGATTTGCGACGTTCAACCTCGCCCGTGCAGACACTTATTGCTGTCCTCAACATGTTGTTAACGACTGCACGTTTGACGACTTGTGGATGAGCGGTGGAACCTTGGTGAGTCGGTAGCAAAACATGGGTTTCCAGTAAATCTTCAATTTGCAATAGGGGTCAGGACGTTTATTGGATTTCATGTGAAACACCTCGAATTACCTTCAGGCTTCTGAACACGACGATTGCGAACGTTAGGCCGTTTGACTAAATAAATGTTCCACCTAAAACCTCGTGTGGCACAAGATCATGATTATCACAAATAATTCTATTTATTTATTTATTCATTCAACGGACATGCTCTAAACATGTGAAATAACATGACCATGAAGAAGGAAATGAAACAAACAACAAGATCCTATAATAAACTCAACTAAGTGAAACCAACTTGTCAATAGATTTCCTGAAAGTACAAAAACTTGGGGGGATGAGATTACGGCGTAAAAGAGAATGAAGCTAGATCTAATACTATTGCTGAAAAACTTAATTTGGGTTCTTGCTGGCACGGTTGAAATCTTAGCTAGGAACTTCGCGTGTTAGACGACACGGTTGTGAAAAACTTAGAAATACCAACGGTACTTATGCCATTTAAAATTTTATATGCCTAAATATATCAATTTTCTTTCTTCTCCACCCAAGAGTTTTTAAACCATATATCTTATTACGTTCCATAATTGCCACCACTGAGTACAATTCATACATCCTTTCAGGTCTTCCTTTCTTCCCTTTGTAAGTAGAGTTGAGATCAAGTGAGCTACTCATGTTTCGCAGTAATCCCAATACTGCTTCAATAAGGGGCGGAGGCGGTGCAGGGAACAGTGGCCATTTAACACACGCATAGTCACGGAATCGAAATCGGATTGATATTCGCCTAAGCCAACCGAGCCTTTCATTCCCAAGCGATTCTTTAATTGGCACCAGACTCGTCTGGGAGGGTAAAAGTCCTGACTCGTATATCGGCTGCCCACCACATCTCATTGTATAGGCCACTCACATATTTAACACTCCACTACGATTCTGAATGGGCGCCGAATGCGAGAACGCATTCCTCAGTTGGGACTGAATGATACCAAGAGACTTCGTATTTTCATCCTTTGTTGTTTGTTGTTGTTTTTCATTGAAAACTACGAGTTTCCTGGAATCTAGAGTTTATTGAATGTCGTACAAGTTTAGATCCAAGGTAACTTCCCACGCTTATCATCATTCTTCGACGGTGGCTCTCGACCGCAGCTTTTCCATCACTTCAACAAGAGAAACCTCGACTTATATGGCGCTAACAGTTTTGAGCAATGATAGTGTAATAATGGCTGTTACAATTCTGACATTGTGCTGATCCTTAATAGATCCAGATAGCAAATACTCTCTCGAAGTTTCTCGGTTTTCAGGTCACCAATAAATATGTTGATTTAGCGAATCGTGCACGTTAGACTTTAGCCTACACAAAGACAGTCAACTTGTTCTATATTGCTGGTAATTTTTGATGTTACTGATTGCGAGATGACTTTCCCGACGCCCATATGCCTGCCTTCCCTGGAACTCAATTCGCTAGTTCGCAAGGCGTGTGACGTGTTCGATGTAATGCAGCAAATCTACACATCTCTGAACAAGAGCATAAAAGGCGCAGTTAACAAGACCTTGGGTTATCCAGTTGTAGACGAAATTGATGGTTCAGAAATGTGCAAAAGTGACGAAGAAAACGCGAAAATCGGTTTATTTAGAGAAACGTCGGTTTATTTGGAGGGCGTCCAAGTCTCAGAAATGAGGTTCGAAGAAGTTTCAGGAGTCAGTTTATGATAAAGATCCTGATATAGTAGGAGAACACAGCTCGCCGACCCTACTGAACTCGTTTTCGACGCAACCATAAGCATTTTTTAAACTGCCTCTGGACCTTTTTCATTTTGAAGCCATATTGAACGAGATTATGATATTGCAATGGATCAATCTGTCACAAAGCGCCGATTATCCAAAAACAATGAGCGACATTGCGCGCCTAACAATGACGTATCCAGTTTTCTATCATTTCACCGTCTTACATAAAAACCTGCAGAAGGGTGTTTTCACAATGCTCCACATCCTTGATTTCATGGAAGAATGAAAGAAAAAATAAATAGTTCGCTTTGCATGGATCACTTTAGAATAGAGGTGCGCCACGCTTTTGCCTTTGATCACTCCGTTTTGTTGTTTCCCGAGTTTCAGCTCCTGCAAAAAAAATGGGTTCATAATTGAAATGGTCAAAGGCTTGTAGTTGACAGCACATGTAGCAGCTCATGAACATATTAATGCTTATGTGTATTCTCTCGGTGAAGATGCCACCACTCAGGGGGTTGATGGTTGCTCGCCCAGCGCCGAGTTCCTTCGAGGCGTTGGGAGCGTGGTCCTACCAGGGCCTAAGGAGGGACATCCCAGCGTCCCAGGTTGCCTGCGATATATGAGTGACAACTACACTTCGCATGCTAAGCACACATTATGCATTATACTGTTTTATGGAAAACTACATGTGAAAAAAAATGTTGGTTTAAACATGGGTGAATGTATTTAGCTAAAATAAGAAAATACTATGAAAAGAAATATGGAAAATACCTATATACATAAAAACCACACTATACCTACGGACAGGGTACGATCCTGCTAAGTCTCAACCCGAACCATCCAAATCCTCCCTGCCTCCTTCTGGTACTGCTCCTCCTTTGTCCTTTCATGGCTGTGTACCATTCCGCTGGATGTTCCTTGCGTGAGGTAGGCTTGGCAGCAATGGCACCACTGGTAGATGACATCATGGTGGTGCTGCGGGAAATTCTGGAGCTGCGTCGATGGCAATGACGTTGAATCGCATCAGGGCACGGAGACGAGCAGGCTAAAACGAGGCGACGAGACTGGATGATGCAATCTTCGCGTGGTGTATAGAGCAGCCAGAGTCCGTGGCTAAGCATAGCCACACGGTAGGCTCTCGTTCTCTACTGTACTTCGGGACCGAGGTGCGCGCCAAGCTAGCCGGCCTGCAAGTTGTCCGAACGCTACGACACCCTCCTTCAAATGGTTGCTACGTTATTTCTTTGTTCTCGAAGGTGCAGAAAAATGACGAAGAGAGCGTGAAATGCGGCGGATTTTAAGAAAAAATAGAGCTCCAAAAAAGTAGTAAGAAAGGAGGTAATAAGAATTATGTGTTCGTAACCGTCTGAGCGCCTCCCACATGAGCCTACTATTCGTCGGCGTTCTAACTCTTCATTGTGGTGGTGCAGTGTTAACAAAATCGTCATACCAGGCCTTATCTGGGCGCGTACGTTAGCCGAGCCGGTTTCGAACACATGGTTTCCTAAGTGTTATTCTCAGCTAATATGAGCCTCGTAAAGCTTCAAACGAGGAATCGAAGACCATGCGCATCTTGAATTTTACCTTCAAGACATCATTGCAAAGAAGCAGAGAAAGGCTCTCAAAATTCTACCAACTTTTTTTTCAAAACACGTTTTGGAACAGTCGTAAGCAACGGTGTGAATGCGCAGGACCTTCTAATTAAGAACGACGTGAAAGCCAGTTAATGGCGTCCATAATTTCCGGTTTTTCAGCAGTATCGCGATTGAACCACGAAGGTTTGCTGTTGTCTTCGCACACCATTAATCACAATAAGTCGCCCACTCTATACGCTTTATCACGCACTCAAAAAGTTGCAAATCATCCTGATGCTTCTTTGGACCTCGTAATGACGATGGGCACCGAGACACCGTTTCCTCTTGGCATCCGTTGATATAGGGATATTTCGACTTTTCGCGGTAGGCATAACTTCATGTTTCGAGATAATATGTTTTCATCCAAAATCCCAAAAACCTGTGCTGGCCCTTGCGAGTAGGTACCATCCCAGAATCCTTCCTGCCTTAAAAAAGTTTTGTTAGCCGATGTCAGTTTTTTCTGAATCTGCTATGGATCGAAATGCGAACCATCGGGAATCAGATTTCTATGTTCCAAGCAGAACCCATCCATCTTCAGCGCGTTCCTCTCACCACGGAAGTTTCCCCGTTGTCCTCTTCTGGGAGATGTTGCATTCCGTTGCCAGTAGCTTTGTCCATCCTTGCCCTGCAACCATCTTTCCTTCCTCCATCCTTTGATCTGCCACTCATCCCCGCCCCATTCGCACGATGTATGGGCTAAATTCAAGCCAAGTGACGGATCTCTATTTTATTTCCATCACTCAAGCTGAGCTCCTCCCTTTTTCGCATGTTCTTCGATTGCTTCAGCTAGATTTAGCATACACCAGGCTTTTCTTATATCCACCATTTTTTGGCTGGAGTCCAGCGCCGCCCACTTAGCATATATCCACTCAACGGTAGATGGACTCCTGCAACAGCTCAGTAAATCAATCTTCCCTTTAGCCGATTTCCGAGCAGAGGTTGGAGAGGTTTTTATGGGGTCATTCAATAAGGAGGCAATGGAAATAGAGACTCAAAGATAGCGATCACGAGGAGCTAAAAGGAAGAGGTGGCAGGATCAGATCGAGAAGAACTCCGAAAACCAAAGCACCCGAAAAGATGCCGCAGATAGGAATTGGAGACAATATATTTACAGGAACAGAAGACTCTGCAAATGCGCAAAATTAGTGCATGCGAGTAGAAAAAGAAGCGCTTTGGACGGCTTCTGTGGTAGTGGCAGGGACCACATCTCTACTTCCTTCGAAAGGATTGGAAGGATGTAAAGGATGTATTTCATGTGGAAAATGAAATAAGAAGTACTTTCAGTAGCAAAAAACAGGACACTTGAGAAGTTGTGACCGAGAAGTTATATTTTCTCGTGTTCTCCGTTGGGTTCAGCCAGATTTAGTGTGCACAATTTTTTGAATAATTTCGACGAAGGGGATTCACGTCTTTCTGTCCAGCTTGGATGAGGAATTCACGTCATCACAATTTCAGCTTCAGGCTGGTTCAGTCGTTGGCATCAACAGGAAGTCTTGCAATTTCGACACTATGCTTGTATGCTCTACAAGAAAGAGCTAGGATACAGATTACAGAGGGTAACATGATTCGTGTTCTTTACAAAAATGAAATTTGCATTAGTTTCAGAACACCGTGAAAATAACCCACTGTTAACAGGTGACTCACATCAATTTCACTGAAAAAGGATGTATAAAGAAATGCGTACACATACGATACGGCCATTGCATTAAAAAGAATAAAAAGCGTCAAAAAGTACATAGGAATGGACGAAAACAGGCCGAAGAGTCGGTTTGAAATAAGGGGGATGAAAACGTAGAAATTGCTACATGAAGTTATGTCAATAGATAACAGCGATTCTTCTACGGATTAGCAGAGTATTTTGAACAGAAAATGTAAAAGATTTTTAGCATAGATTCATAATTTTCAAACAGAGGTCGAGGAACAGGCATTGCGAGCCCTCGGGGCATTTTGGACACAGCCCGCCAGTCCAGAAATTAACTGAAATCAAGAATGTTTTATAGTTACCCGAGGAGCAGACCCACTACGTGTTTTACTTTCCCTATACACATCTATAAAGGTTCTGAAAGTGACTTCCAGAATATTTGTGGATATGAGCGGCGTTCAATTTCTTGTGGATGAACTTCACGTTNAAACAGAGGTCGAGGAACAGGCATTGCGAGCCCTCGGGGCATTTTGGACACAGCCCACCAGTCCAGAAATTAATTGAAATCAAGAATGTTTTATAGTTACCCGAGGAGCAGACACACTACGTGTTTTACCTACCCTATACACATCTATAAAGGTTCTGAAAGTGACTTCCAGAATATTTGTGGATATGAGCGGCGTTCAATTTCTTGTGGATGAACTTCACGTTGAATAAGCGGTTTCAATGAAGACGACCGTTCACACGCTCAAAATGTTGCTTTCTCTCGCCGTTTTCGCTTTTTTTTTCATGATTTAGTCGCGTGAAAGCGTTCCCCGAGTGTGAAAATGCACTTAACACACGAGCGGAAGCGCTTCATACGCTAACGGTAGTTCGGTGGCGGGCGTGGCGATACCTCTATATAAAGTTCTGGATCACGTACAAAAGAGACTTTTGTACTTCTAACCAGAAGTGCGAGCTTTTCCATCTTCAGTCGTGATGTATACGACGTTAGCGTTCTTCGCTCTGATTACAGGTACGTCGAGAGGGCGTAAGACTGTTCAATTAACTAGTAAGAGCCTGCAGCGAAAAGTAAAAGAACAACTGCATTTTTTCAAGAGTCATCTTTGGAAAATGATCAGGTTTCGCTTTTTATGGACTCTTCTATTGTTTGTAAGCCTCCTAAGTACACCTGGGTTACTTTTGAAGTTGAAATAACAATCTTCCACTTCTTTTCTTCATTATCCAGCCTAATTTTTGAAGCTGTTAAGATAGTGTTTCGAAAAAGTGATAATGTTTTGTGGCGAAGCTTTACGAACAGCTCCGCCACAAACCATTTTCACCATTGGGGCGAAGCTTCAGGAACAGAAAGAAGCTCTTTTTCAATGTTCAGCTTTTTTTTCGTTTGAAATTTCATAGTTTATGGCCTTTGTTTTGTCATTCAGCCGACAATTGGGTTTACTAACATTGAGATAATTTTGCAAAATTTTTCATTTAAGCAGATTACTATATTGCTCGCGGTTACACTTCACAAAGTTGTAAACAATGGTAGAGGAGATTTCACAAAATGTTTTGCTCTGGAAACGACTGATATAAGTGAGAAGGAGTGTAGCAATTTCAACTGACACCATGAAACTCATATGGTTCTGAGATTTCAATAGGGCGACCATTTCCATTTAAGCAGTACACGAAAATGTACTAAATGCGGACGCGGATAGGGATTGGTGGGAAGAGGGGAGGGGGGTGGAAGGAAATCCAAACAGCCGGCAATGGACGTATGTTAGCTTCTATATATGACTAGGGTTATTGATGACAGAGTATAATATTATAACTAACCGTTTTGGCTCTTTTTTACTGGCTTGGCGGTAAATGAATCTGAACCAGCAAACTCAACTGAATTTGGGACGTGGTTGGGTTGGATTGCATTGAAGGAACCCATACCATCGCATAGAATTTTATTCTAATTTCTGTAAATTGCAATTTTTGCTTTTCAATTATGTGAGCTCCTTCACTGCCGAGTATAACAGTGGATTGAAGCGTCGTCTGCTATTGGGTAACATCAGCTCTTCGTAAGAAATTCAGGATTAGCTGTGGTAGTCCTAGTTTGGGAACCATTTCCTGCTCATAGTAAACGAGAGTTCGAATTTTGGCTGCTTTGCAACAATAGACTTTCGCTATATTCCTGCTCCATATCTTTCAGGAAATTCTCGAAAAAGCTTTAATTGAAATCGTACGGGTCAAGTTATTTCACATTTTCGCAATCAATCCTATATTTGCAACTAGTAAGGTATCGGGTGAATGATTCGACTGTGCCTATGGTATTTCAACTCTCTTAGTGAAAGATGAAGTTTCAGCTCTAACAAAGGTTCAAATAAACCGAATATTGCAAAATTCCCAAACGTGCCATCATCTGAAGCATTCAATCAGTTACCCTATAAGTCACAAAAGCTGTCTCTATCTAATCTTCGTTGATGTGTAGTTAGCCAAAATATCTAACAGTTTTTTGGGCTAATCCTAAAGCGTTTATAGTTACACAAATGTTCCTCAAACTAAACTTTCTGTGGTTGTCATAATGGAGTAGCGGTTCTGTGGAAAACTTTCTTAAGAAAGGATACTATATGGTTCGTGTCAACAAAAAAAAAGAGGAAAATGGCTAGTGATTCCTGATCTTTTAGATTTTTGGAAAAAAATTAGACAACAAAATCCGCTTCTGTTGCAAAAAAAAAGGAAAACAGAATTTATCTGTTGAAAATGGACAGCGAAATTTTCTGAAATTTTGAAATTTTTGAGCCATTTATCACCGCTTTCAAAAACCTTGATTTCACAAAACACACATAAGTACATCGCCTACGGGACAATAACATGAACACCCATATTTTCTTGTTTTCAAACATCCTTTCTTCCTTCATCGATACTGGAGGCAGAAGTGCGGTACAACGATTGCCCTGACCATCATGAAAAACTAAAATGATCAGTTTTGGCTCTCGCAAAACCTGATTTCCTAGTCCACCGGTTGAGTTTCGAAGTTGTAGAATCATAGTCAGAATGCACTGATAATACCAACGTAGAAAACTTTGATTGACGTGAGCCTACGCCAACATCAAAACTCTAAGAGGGCTATAACTATTCCCCCCTTCTGCCTAGAAACCGCCCGAAGTCAGTGAGTGATTAATCTAAATGGTAGGCATATTGATCTCCCTCGCTAGGCTCCATTCTGGGATGATAACCGTATTCGTTCCTTCGAACACAGATTGAGGTCACAGTGCTCTCACACTCACTTGTTAATCACTTTGAAATAACGATTGAAGCAAATTTTGATAACTTCTCGCGTGTTGTAGCTAAGAAATATCAATTTTTAAGCATGAGCCCTATATATACTTGACCAAGCAGAAAGAAAAGAATCTCTCGTAAAAAAAATCCGTATCAACTTATTGCTTTCAGCCGGCTCAGCGTCAGTGCTACCAATGGAACATGCCTACAAGGACGGCAAAACCCTCCGATTGCCCATCAACGAAAACGATACAGAAGCCCTTTTTGACAAATGGGTCAACCAAGCACTGTCAGGATTAATGGCAGCAGTCACGGCTGGAAGGTCAGTGAGTTCTATGAAGTTTGGTAAACCTTAAGCGACCGTAGGTTCAGCAGTAAATTTCAGTCTTAGATTTTTCTAGATTTCTGGGTCCTACAAATAGAGCCTTTAGAAAATATTACTATGGAGAAGGGGATAAAGTTATCTGATCCTGGCCATTTCCCAATTTTTTCTCATTCCCATGCCGAGCGAGGATTAAATGAAAATGATGCCAAAATCCAAAAAATTAAGACTTTCGGACTCCGAAATGAACCATGGAGAAAAGTTCTATTCCTACCTGTTTTTTTTTTCGAGATGAAAGGCTTAGAATGGGCTAATCCTATCCGATGCTAATTAGAAAATCAATTCTTTTCCAATCTGTTCATTTGTTCGCACTTGAAACACTGTCATTTTCGCTAATTCGATTAGATTGGAATTGTGGACGTCGCCCCGTGAAAGATCCATAGCTTTCACCACCTATTCCCTTTGATCTTCAGGGAGATTTTCTTCATTGAAGACCTTCAAACCTTTTCAGCCTTGAAGCCGTTGATTATATTCAGGGTTCCAGTGACCGAGGTTCTGACTTCTGATCATCTTATCCATCTGATTATCTCTGACAAACACTAGGGCGGAGGTGGTGTAGTAGCAAGTGGCACACTATCACCTAAGTGTAGTAAAGGGTTTGAATCGAATAAGCCAACTAGGGCTCCCTTTCGTTCGAGGTCGATCAAATGATACCAGACTCGTCTGGGAGGATAAATGCGCTGACTTGTACATCGGCTGTCCACCGCAAGTCATTGCATGGACCACAAACGCATTCAGTACGCCACTCCAATTCCGATTGGACTTGGATGCGCGGCCCATTCCTCAGACTGGGTTATCCGATGTTAGAAGACCCTATACTTAGTGACTTTTATGAATTTAGCGGTGCCTTAAGGAACAGCTCGTCTTCATATGCGTTAAAACTGAAAACAATGAAAATTTCTTTTGCAGAGCGACATGACTGATAACTGGGTAAATAGCTTAGAATACCGTCATGGAACAAACACCCCGCATTCAAGTTCTAGTCGAAACCGTAGTAACATGTTGCGTTTTGAATGGTAGCTAGTCAATGTACGAGTCAGTACTTTTAATTGGTCAGACGATTCCGGTACCAAGCAAGCCTGAAAAGTAGGAAAGCTTGAATGACCTGAGCTGATACCAGTACGACGCTCTATACCCGAACCGTGGGCATGGAAATGCACCTTCTGACACTAACCTTTTCAGCTTCACCAAATAGTCACGAAATGGTCTGAAAAGCATGAGGGAAAGGTGCTCTTTTCCTTATTCCAACGAAGTAGATTACTCAACTACTGTCAATGCTTTTGATCGCTACGCAGAAACCTGGCACACTCTAATTGGGACTTGGAAGCCGACGTTAAGATGGTCCCCATACGACGTGAATGCTATTGTATTGATCTTTAGGCCCTCTACGTTCTGATGGGCTCAGTTGAAAGCATTGTACGGTCATCTTATTACACCGCTATCTCCATCATACATTTACATCATCAAACTATCAGCTGAACGATAGATTGAAAACTCGAGGTACTGTTCACGATAACTTCAAAGAGCCCTCTAGAAGTTGAGAGGCGGAATTGTTGGTGAGGAGTGGTACGTCGGTGGAAAGGGAAGTGAAAAAATCGGCGGAATACGTAGAATAGAAGGCTTCTTGAAAGTAGTAACAGTGAGGGTTGCTCGAAGTTGTCACGGCCTTGATGCCACGGAAAGTTGTTAGATTGGGATTGCGTAAAGAGCTGGGGTTAGGACTGGAATGCTTGAATAACATTCCTTTTTCACCCAAACCGGAAATTATTGTTGGAATTCTTGCATGGATGTCCTTTATGGATGGTGCAACCCTTACAAGGCCCATTTCTGAGTGTGGCATACAAAGGACATAATCTTCAAGCTCTTATTACGGGGTATCATTTTCAATTTACCATGGCCACTTATGGCATACTTGGTATACGGGACTACCCCGGATACCACTTTTTTTCCAAACTGTATCTTTGACTACCTAATGGTCCACAGATTCCAATCCGGTCCAATTCTGAGGTTATTCGAGTTTATCACTCGTCCTACCCACCTCTCCGTGCCAGTAGACATACTTGTTCGTTACATTTAACTCCTCCCATGCTGTTGAGTACAGGGGCAATCACTTCTGTCAGCTAAGCCGGTCCTGTGAGGTAGCTGCTCTTTAGTCCTTACTCTTTGCGATATTCATAGCCATTTGTGAATTCGTTGCTGCATCCTACTTGAGACATGGTTGGCTGACATACAGTTTGGAAGCTATCACACAGTTAGATAGGTGTGGATTGGGTCGAACTCATCCAACTATTCAACTTTTACCGCTGTTAAATGGTTATGCAACCACGTCAGTTTTCATTGGACGTTCTAAGCACGCATCACTCACCAATCATTTCTTCTCCCATATGTTTTTGAAGATGAATCATCACGGTCATTATCTGTCCAGAAACGATATCAATTTCACTAGCAGCCAGATACAAGGATGTGCATTTTTCATGATAAAAAAAGCAATATCGCATGAAAGAAGTTGCTTTGAGATGAGATATGAAACGGGGCTTAACAAAAGAAACCCAAACGGATCCCTAACATGTGGAAGGGATGGTCAAGGGCAAAAGAGAAACTTGGGGGATCACTTAAAGTTCCGCTTATCGAACTCGTAGACCTGTTCTAATTCAATTCCCGAACTTGATGATGTCAACTCAGAAATGCACTCTTCTCATATCCTTCCGCATTTATACAACATCAATCAACACCGAGCGCTGTTGAAATTGATAACTCCAGGTTCAAGGCAATCTTTGTAGGGATGGCCCTAGCCAAGTTTTTACTAGCACTAACTGGATGCAGGGGTATTGAGACACTAAGATGATGGAGAGATGAAGATGAAGATAAATCCTTGTACCATTTCATTTGAACCCTCGTCCTCTACAACATTCGCCCATACGTTGACAACTAGGCTGTTCCCTTTCCACAGAAACAGAAGAACTCCGAAAAGTTAGTCGTCATAGCAAATCTGAGGTCCCCAGAATAGGCGACTTTTATTTTCTAGCCTGGAACTGCTTGGGGCGTCCAAGGAGGCGATAATCAGAATAGACAAGAACACGGGAATAGGGAGGGTGGGGAACAGTTTCTTAATTAAGTTCTTGTAACCTCTACTCCGTGGTATATGTGATGTGATTCTGAAAGCTATGATGGAGAAAATCGGGAAAATTCTTCTCGGTCGCTTTTACTCGAATGTATGAGCGGGTTCCTAGAGCTGACTGCTGGTAGCTGGTACAGTATGAGTACGAGGGGGCAACTAGTGGTACAACATTCCTCTGGAGTTCCATGATCAGCACAGCAAAATCTTCGGGGATGCTGTTCTGGCTCCGGCTACACCCACCGGCCGGTTTTCTATTTCTGGCGAATAAACAGCGACCTTCTTGTTGTTGTCATAAAGAACCTAGCTCCTATCCCTCAATGCTAGTCCCTGCAAAACTACTTCTGACTGGAGTTAAGGAGAAACAATTGTCTGATTGAAACACACATGTGACGGAGATCGTCGGATGGTTTGATGTAGAATAATTGAGCAAAAGCTTTACTGTAATCGTTTTCGATGAGATCTCAGGCACTATGTCACTGATAGGCCTTTCACAAAATACCATTGTACTAACTATAAGTACCCCAATGGGTCCGGTAACTTACCCCGAACACGGCATCGTGCTCGCACGGTACCGTACCCGCTGCTTATCGCAGAATTGCGATGGAAGATTGGGGCGCACAATTCGTGAGTTAGGAAGTCCTCTAATTATTTGAATTCGCTGGCCGCTCCCTTCAATTCCTTGCGATTTTGATAATCTATAATAGAGGAATGCTCATTCCAAACAATCAAGTCCAACAAACATAAAAACGAAAAGGGAGAGAAAAAACAATCAATACAATCAAAAAAGAAGGGCAGACAAAGAAAAGTATTGCGTCCTATCGATTGGCGGGAGGCGGGTCGAGTACGATGGGTCCGGGAACTTCTCCCCTAACACGGCGTCGCACACGCCGCACCCGCCGCCTATCGCAGGATTGCGATGAAAGATTGGAGCGCG